GGCGATCACTAAAAACCATTAGAAAAATCAGCTACACGTCGTTGAGCTTATAACAGCAAAAAGCTTATATACTTGCCTGGTTCCACTTGGTCGAATACCTCCTGCATATGATGCTCTTCATCAAGCGTGTATGAAGGCGTCGGTGCTTTTAGCTGGTCGGCTTTCTTGTACAGTATCGATATCGTATGCTTTCTGTTTTCTGTTAATATGCTTTCAATAGAATCAGGATCGGATGCAATTATCTGCACTTGATTGCCGGCCAAGTTGTCCATGCGTGCGAGGAATCGTTTGTTTCGGTGTTCGATTATAGCCACGGTATAGAAATGTGCTCCTCCTGATGACGTTGAATAAATCCTTGCATGCAATACATATTCTTCCGATATTCCACCTTCGTCGTCTGTGAGCATAAGCCGGTAGGGAAACATAGTAGGCCGACCATGTCGTTCTCTTTCGTCGTCTGCAAAGATAAGGAATGTCGGAAATTCTGTTGGCACATTATATTCCATTGCAGAGCAACTACAGCCTGGTTCGGGACAGCCTTGTAGAGCGAGCCTTTCGTCCTCGATGTGAATGTTGTAGAGTAGCTTGCCAAACTCGACAGGGTCTTCTGCGCTTGAGACCAAGTCCTCAATGTAAACTGCCGGCCTGAGGTAGTGTGAATCGGCAGGATAAAATACACCGTGCTCTTCACAATAAATGACTCGTAGGCATTTGATGAAGAACTGGTCTTGTATAAACGTCGAAGCTCTTTCCAAAATGAACTGCAAAAGGAATTCAATTGCAGAGTGCCAGCCCTTGTCCATGTATACTATGTCACTCCAAGCGAAATCCCGGATCCACATGCTCGCATAATCACGCCCTTTTTCGGTGTTCTCGGAATGATGCATGTATGTATAGTGCAGCGCATTATCGACCGGGTTAAAATTAGTAGGTAGGAGCTGGTTGCGCATATCGATGAAGGGGAAAGCAGAATGCCACAGCATCTCCATTGGAGCGTCAATGAAGCACGAGTTATTCTGATTTCGCCTCAAGTGCAAACTGTACGGTTTGTCTTTTTCGGCAGCTGTATAAGATAAAAGAATAATTGCATTTCATGCGTATCATAAGTAAGACAGAAAAATTATCTTTCATAATATATATATCACAGTATTACCTTGTCGACTTTCTCTTTGTTGCTGACTCTGTGTAGCAGAATTTCCAATTGTTGACGCCTTTTTGGAATGATGAGAGATGGGACATCATCGTTAGGATCGGTTCTCACTCTACATTACATACTCGTCGCTTAGTACATTTGTGATCCCAAAATTTGACAATCTAATGGTATGTATGAATAGTACCTTTTACTTTGCGTATCACCACTTTCGTCGGATGAATCATTTGATGGGATTCCACTCTTGTCCTTGTCTGCAACCAAGTTTATGATCTGGAGGCGCGATCTTCGTGTCCTTTTTCGTCGTTCTGTTGCTCGTCCTTTGGTCTTCACTTTCTTTGGCAGCACCACATAATTTATATCAGCAATGTCATCAATGGCTGCTTGGATTGCACCTTCAATATTATCCAAGAATTTGGATAATTTTTGCGGGTCATTTTGCATTGCCAGCATTTGATGGTGTGCTGCAAATAAAACTTGTTTCGAGCGTTCATTCGTGCTTTGAGCAAGAACTGTTACATCAGTTTCTATAAAAACCAGTATCCATGAGTATAAATTTCATAATGAAACCTGTACATAGTATGAGTAATATATGCTTATTAGTGCTCACCTCCATTGTCTTTCAGATGCCAGAACGAATCAATTGATTCCAGTGGGATAGGATCTTGCGGGAGCGTGTGACGACAAGGAAGGCTGTAGTTTCTCAATGGTATGCATGGGCAGTTGTCGCGCTGTTCTCCTCGTGAAGCACGTTCGTTACGAAGTAAAAGTAACGCAAAGTGCGAGATCTTCCTAATAACATTCTGGAAATAGTATGCATCGTCTTGTTGTAACACTACTACAGGTACACTTTGCGTTTCGTTTGACAGGTAAATGTCTCGACTCTTTTGCTATATGAATAAATAAGATCAAATTAGTATCAAACTGATGTACTATATACTTTCGATTAATTAACAGAAATATGTCTTACTGATTGAATACACCACTCATGGATACTCTTAAACAAGAGTCTTAACGACTTTGGCTTGTCCAAATGCCGTTTTAGCATATAATGAGCGCTTTCGACTCTCTGTGTAGACCTGCAGCCGAAATGCTTTTTTGCTTCACACCAAGGACCTGCCCAGTCTTCTTTGCTCTCGAGCATTCTAGTATTTATCCCGATTTTGATGTTTGTTATTAGTATTCGTTTGCATCTTTAACTAAACATAGCTCATTTACATAAAAGATATTGAACTTACTCATTGAGATATTCGATAAGTTCATCCTCGATTGTTGACAACTTTGCCAACTCCTGGTAATCGGTCACTCCTGCTTCAAAATCCTTATCGGTTCGAGCGTATAACAAGGTTACAACGGCTTTATTGAATTTTTGTTCTTCGGATTTTCGGCCACGTAACGCAGGAGGGAACTTCTTCTTGCAACGCTTCATGAAATTTTTTTCAACGTGCCATGCACAAAGAATTGACGTAACTTGCGGGAAGATTTCAGACAGAGCGTTTCTCAATGCATTGTCGCCGTCAGTTATAAACAATGCTGGAGCTCTGGAGCTCGATGCAGGCCACACGATGTCATGCATTTTCTTGGCGACCCAGGTGTACATATCCTCGTTCTCGTTGGAGATAATGGCAGACGCGATAATGAACGTACGAAGGCTGTTGGTTCCAAGGTTGCCTACGCCCACTATGTTCACAAGTGGCATGTTGTGGATATTCGTTTTGTAGGTAGAATCGATTTGGATTACATGAGGGAACCTTTAATTGATCGCCATTAGAATTTGTAAACCGTTTTCGGTTCGAAAGTTGTAATGCTCAAAGAGTTTTCTAGTTCCTTTACCTTCGTGCCATAGTTATGTTGTTGGGATGAACCACAAAAAGAGCCTTGAGGACTTTGTTGGAATTGATCTCATAATGTGAGACGTAACCGTGACCTTGTAAATAGTCAACAAGCGGTGAAAACTTGCTGTCAATAGCCGAGACATTACAGTATCTTTGCCGGAAGTTGGAAACGTCCTTAGGAGTAATAAGGATACCATTATGTCTTGCCCGAACGAGTTCTGCTATGCTAGCTGGTCGGAGAGACGCCGCTTCTGTGCTGGCCAGGGTTTCAAGCACTTCGTCATCTTGATAAAACTCTCGACGTTGGTAAGGTACGTAGCCAGGAGCTTCGCCGTTGCTCTTCTCTACCGGGTGGTTATGCTCAATAGCGTCGTCAAGAGCAAATACTTCATCCGAGTTAGACTTATACTCTCTTCCATAATGCCAATTGAATCTTCTGATTTGCCATGCTTTGGGTTCGCCTTTCTTGACTTGAGCGTATGAGCCGTAGATCTCCCATAGACAGCCAGTTTTTTGACTTTTGCCTTGTCTTTGGCGGGACATTCCTTTAGCGGTGACACGATCCTGGTATTTGCCATGCTTCTTACACTTGAAGGTCAGTGCGCTGCCTTGTTCATTGGTTTTCTTGACGATGGTGAACCCTTCTTCTTTGGCGTAGGCTTGAATGTCTTTCACCATATCATCTGCGGTGTCGTAGGTTCTTCCAATAAGGTGACTCATGGTAATCGGTAGATGGGACTATGCAAGTTTTTAGTAGGTGCAAGTAAAAATAGGGAATGAAAATAGAATTGATTACTATCGATTAATCTAGCAATTGGTCCTGATATTTATACTTTTTTTTCACTCAATACCATATACGGGTAAATACGCATCTCATACAAGAGATGACAAAGCACATTGCATAGCCAAATTGCTGCGGCATAGTGGGTTACTGTACTGAACGCTCAGCAGCGACAAACAGCATGATAAGTAGATACCGCAGCAAATAGTAGTATGTATCGGAGAAGGTAAAAAAAGCTGAGCAATCTTGACAATGGTGTTACAGTATAATTTCGGACAGCTTCTTGTAAAGAAGTAGCTGGCGCAGCAATGTTTCAAATAACTTCTCGAGTGTTTGTGTTTGCAGCTGACAAGTCGCAATGGAGTGTTTGCTATCACTATTTAGAGTTTATTTGTTTTTTGTTTTTTTTGGTCTACACAAAGAATTACACTTCCACTTTTTTTTGGTCTACGCAAGGAATTACAGATTGTAAGGAAAATCTGAAATTGGTGTGGGGAGAAGTTTGGTCTCCCGAAGGAGTGAAGATAGTAGAGGAGACATGTGTAACGGATGTTTAAACTCCTATATGTAAAAATTTGGTCTACGCAAGGAAAAATTTGGTCGCTCGAGCAATTCTGTTCTTTTTTCCTTTCTTTTACTTTATTTTTATCGGTCTGTTGTTCCCTTTCATTGTAAACCACCTCTTCTTTCACTTTTATTGTTATCCATTTATTTTTCCCTTTATAAACAATTGTTTCAAATGTTGTCTGATATTATTGACTATGACCTTCGTCTACTTTTTGTTGGCATCAACCCTGATCCCCAGAGCTATGAGATGGGAATGCCATACATTGGACGTTCAAACCATTTCTGGCCATGTTTTCACTCCTCAGGTACTGTCTGACAATAATTCTGAATATTTAGTATCTGACCATACTACTAGGCTTATTGGATAAGCGTGTGGGTCCACGCCAAATTGGCGATTTATTGAATATCCACCGAATTGGGTTTACGAACATTTGTGCTCGACCAACAGTGCGTGCTTCTGAACTTAGTGTTCGAGAAAAGCAGCGTGGTGCTGTAGCCTTGCGCTGCCTGATTGAGGAGTATAGGCTGTCAGTTGTCTGTTTCCTAGGTGTTGAAGCATATACTGTTTTTGCAGGCACTACTCGTTTCCGACTCGGGCTACAAGAAGAAGTAATCACTCGATGGTCAAATGCACTTGGAGGCGCTTGTTTGGCATATGTTATGCCTAGTACTAGTGCCAGAGTAGTAGCGTATCAATTGTCCGACAAAAAAGAATTCTTTCGAGAACTTGCTACTTATGTTATTGCTCAACAGCAGTTGCGACAGAACTGAAATCACTCGAGTAGTTATAGCATTGACCAAAACATTTGTACTCTTAAACTACATCTCAATAAAATGTTCTACCAAAGCATTTCGTAAAGAATTCGTGCTGTCCGGTCGTTTTGAAGTTGGCCGTTGTACTTTCCCCTGTGCTACTTTGGTGTGGGCATTTTTGGTTTGCTGTTACTTTGCGTTTACGTGCTGTAAAACTACTGCTGTCGCTTGTGCACAGTAGTTTAAGACATCCTCTATTGATAGAATGCGTTACCAAAGCATTTCAGCAAGATCTCCCACTGTCCGGTCGTTTTAAAGTTTGCTCTGTGCTCATGCTCCTCTAAAAAAAATCACAATACAGTGCTCTGATTCAAACTTGTATAAATAGCATTCACCTTTTCAGCAGGAAATTTGAAAAATTGAGCAAATTCTACTTAGTAGAAACTAAAATTATTAACTTCCCTGTTGGGGTCGTCCTCTACAGCCCTTTTAAATGTATCTTGCATTGACACTGTGGTTGAAGTAAGGTAGCTCCTGGCAGTGAATTCGTTTGATGTCTGTATGTAGATGTGGATATGACGAACACGAAACCTTGTGCAGCAATCGCCATCCTTGGGTGAATACTCGGTTGCTGATCGTTTC